ATATAGCCAGTGTCTGAGGGACTATAGGAGCACAAATCTTCCTGCCTTCAAGGCTGGTTCTTAATTCACCATTTCATGCTTCCTCTGTGTAATTACTACACAGCTACAAATTATGTCAAATTAGTGGATTTTTAACTGGTTAAATGATTAGGCCTGGGGCATTAAAGAAGACAGCCCAGTCCTCAGCCCTATTGTATTCGGAATCACAGAGATTTAGAGCAGAGGGTCCCAAACTTATTTGTCCTACTGTCCCCTTTAAAAAAATTACTCAAGGGGCAGCTAGGTGGTGAAGTGGATAAAGCTTTGGCCTTGGAATCAGGAGGATTTGAATTCAAATCCAGTCTCAGACACATGACACTTACTAGCTGTGTGACCCTGGGCAAGTCACTTAACCATGACTGCCTCACAAAAAAAAAAAGCAAAAAAAAAATTACTCAGTGCCTCCCCCTCAATCTACTTTCTTTAACCCTTTAGTGGTTTTTTAAAAATCTGCATCATTTCAAAAAATATAAACTATTTTTTACAGTTAATATATCTTAAATTTAATAATTTATTATAAATTTGTGGGTTTTTTCCTGCATTGAAATTTTGATGATACAATATTGCATCATGTAACCATATAGAATTGTATTATAAACAAGTCATTACACACACATATTCATGCTGGACTTCATGACAATATGCAACAAGCTTGCCTGTCAACACTTGCTTGTTGAGACCTGTCAGTGGACTTGACCACTGTTTGGTTATAACTTGCATTGTGTGTATATTTGGAAAATAATGTAATCACTACAGTGTTGACTCTGTTCTATAGCAGACGAAACGTGTACAAAGTTTTTCAAAATTTTCTTCTTTGCCTATGCTTTCACTGCCCCCTTATTTTTATTCAGTGCTCCCCCGATTGCACCCAAGGTTATTACCACTCCCCTGAATTATTTTGCACCCCTCAGGGGGTGGTATTGCCCACTTTGGGAACCTATGATAGAGCAATAAGGAACCTTATATGTCATCAAATTAGTAGTCTTTTCAAAATTTCAATTAATAGAAAGCTGAGAGAACTGCAATGTAGAGAGATGGGCTAAATCTAACAAAAGAAACTTAATAAGGATAAATTTCTACTGTTTGGTTAAAAAGAAAGAAACTATGTAAGACAGAGCTATGTATGGAACAACAACAACCTGGGCTAATAGCAATCCATGTGGAAAAATATGCATGGGTTTTTATTTACATCATGACATGGCCATCAGAAACACAAATCTGATCTCACAGGTTATTTACTTTTATAGGTAGGTAACCAATGTAGCAAGGTGGGGTACAAAGAACACTAGAATTGACATCTAGGAACCTGGATTTGGATACTAGCTTTGCAACTTTTGGCAAGTCATTTAACAGAGAGGGCAACTGATCTCCATAGAGGTGGAATAGGGATAATATTCATATTATATGCTTATTGGATTATTGAGGATGATATGAGTGATAGGTAAAAGCATATTATAAAATTTGAAGTTTACCACTCTAGTGGTGTGGTGGGTAAAAGACGAAATGACTGAGGAAAACAAAAGTTCAATCTTCTGAACATATCTATTTATTAAGCAAGATTTGCCAATTGCCCAACAAATTGGGACCAGACCTCCTCAGCTTAGGCCTGGACCCTGAATGCAGGCTTTTATGCATTAAAAACAATCAAATAAGACCAATTAATTAAAAGGAAACAATACTTTAGGTTATCTGATTTTTAACTGGATGAAAGATTAGGGACTTTCCCAGTTGGAAGGGGGAGAGTGAACAGATGCAATTCACAGAAATTAGAAAAAGAGGTATCCCACTCCAAGTGTCTGTACACAATCAAAGGAACATGGAAACAATAACTGATAAGTATGGGGTCAATTTTCAGGTAAGACATATGAGTTGCTCAAGATGTACAATTGTGAGAAAACTCCTTGCACAAATCTTTGAATCAGAGTTTCTGGTCAGTATAACCTAGATCCTTAGTTAAGAGTCTCTAAACAGCAGGTAGAAGTGGTCCACTTTCTGAGCTATGCAGGGCTAGGTTCAAACAATGTGATAAGGTTTTTTCCCCCAATTCCCACAATTGAATAAACTTTTCTCACAAGATGGAATTTGGACTAGGCCCATAATTGAATAGAAAGGGAACTGAGCTAGCATAATTCACATAATTAACCATTTTCTGTCCCAATTCCCTCAAATTTCCCCCTTTTGATTTATGGGGAGTGGGTAGGCCACTTCCTCCACAGATCACTTAACTATGAGCCAAACCTATAAAGGTTTATCATGTATTCATGATCAGAATTACATAAATCAGGTTACAGATCAAATTACTTAGCTCACAAAGGACTAATTTTGAGAAGGGAGATTTCCATGTCACCAAGGTAACCAAGAAAACAAATTTAAATATATACACTATGAAACAAAAGGCCAAAGCAATACGACAATGTGCATCAAATCTCCTTGTATCCTAGTAACTCACTCCCAATGTCCATTTATTTAATCAGCACATTTTGAGTCCCAGATGTCTCATGTAGTTGTCTGGTCTCTGGGTATTATTGTTTGTCCTTCATTCTTGAAGAGGACCAATGACATCAGGAAGGTGATATCTTCACTTGCAAATGAATTGGATCTAAGTGAGGCAGAGCTGTGCAAAGTTATCAGCCTCACTTTCTTCTACAGAGTCATCAGAGTCCAGTGGCAAGACATAGGTCAAGATGATTGGTGATGGCCCTGGTGGTCCCTGGATGTCTTCTCTTGTACATTCTGGAATAGTCTTCATTCTCAGGGCAACTCTGAAGGGGCTCTGGTTCTAAATCACTTGTAGAGGTTCTCCAATCCTGAAACTCGTGTGTTTATAAACTAAAACTAACCACATTCTGGGGTTTGTCATATAGCAAATACCTCATGTTTGACTCATTAAACTAAGCCACAGTGGTCAGAGCACATCAAAAGGTACATTGCCAAAGGCATGGATGATCCACAGTGGGAATGGGACTTGGAACCACATGCTATGGTTTTCAGTGGAAGGAACAAAGGATACTGAGCTTAGGAAAGGTGGGTAGAGCAGGGTCTACAGTCTTTTAGACAGTTGGAGTGACCACACAGGAAAGAGATTATATTTGCTTTACTTTATCACCTGAGTTGAAAACAAGCACCAATATTTAAGAATTAGAGAACAGTAGATGTCAGCTTAACCTAAGGAGAGAGAAGTTTGGTTATTAAAGCTGGAATTGCCTACCACATTTAAGTTTTGGTGGTAAGTATCTGTCCTAATGGGGAAAATGAATTATAGATTGGGAAAGGGGAGGCTTTGAAGAGGAGGCAGGATTTAGACTAGACAGTCTCAGAATTTGAGTTCTTTCAAGATTTAAATGGGAAAGACAGAAAAAAAAAGTTGATGAGCCACATTAATAAAAATATTTTAAAGAGACAGGCTATGCTTAGAAACATTAAAATGTTTTCATTCTGTCTTGGTAACCCAAGCATTTGGCCTAGTACCTTGCAAATAGAAGTAATAATGCTTATTAGTCATAGCAAATAAAACCCTGGAAAAGAAATACAGGTTTTTATTGTAGGAGCAGATGGAGCAGATGGTCAATGATTCAGAAAGTAACAGCCAAGTTTGGTTTATAAAGTTACTTAACCCTGCTTAATTTGTTCTTTGCTTGGAATCAGGCTACTTGGTTACTCAAAGACTCTTCTTTCACTCTTAAAAAAAAAAAAAAGGGGGCAGCTAGGTGGCACAATGGATAGAACACCAGCCCTGGAGTCAGGAGGACCAGAGTTCAAATGTGACCTCACTTACTAGCTGTATGAGCTGGGGTAAGTCACATAACCCCATGGCCTCCAAAAAACAAACATATCTTCTGCATATAGGTTGATTGAACCAAAGGCAATTCATCTCGATTGCTTTGTAGGTTTTAGAAGACTAGTTTTCAGTCCCTTTGTCTTCTGTGCTTCAGCCAGGCCTTCGAATAAGCCTCACAATCAGGCATTGAACTTAAATATAAAATGGGATCTTGAAGGTTTAGGGTAGTAAGAATGCTTGTCAAGGGAGATTAATTTGATGGCAGGATACAGTATACAGGACTTGTTGCTTACAGTGAGGCATATAAGAACATTTATTAAATGTTAAAAACAGTTTATTATGCCAACAGTAACATTAAAAAAAACCCCAACCATTTAAAATTTAACAGTCCAAAGTTAAAAAGCCAATAGTAAAAAGCCTTCTTTCTGCTGGCTCTTCACCTGGCAGCTTTCTCCTGTAGGTACAGAGAAATGAAAATGTCAGGTGGCTACTTCTCCATCGATAAACATTTTTTAAACCTGCTATGTGCCAGGCACCGTGCTAAGAGCTCGACTTCTCACCGTGAGTTACCAAAAAGCAGATTCTCCTTAAGATCTGGATTAGGCATTTTGTCATCATCATTTTGACTAAGCTCAGCCTGACCTAATCAGCATCTAAAACTCCTCAGACTTAAAGACTTGTCTTCAGAACAGGAAGAAGCCATTAGAATGTCAGAGTTTAAGGAAATTTTTAAAAAGCTAGTTATCTTGTTTTTTGTAATTATATTCATTTCTTAATCTATTGCTTTTCCCCTGCCCAAATGAGTCTTTCCTTGCAACAAAGGTAAGGAAAAAAAATCAAATGGGGAGCTTTTTCCAAAGACAACCTCTGTTGGGACTTTGATCTAACAAGACTCTTAACCTAACAGAGGATAGCAATAAGACTTCTGTGTGTTCCTCTGAAACCCTTACTAAAATTTCCTCTCAAGATACTAGGCCCATGGTGTTGAGTCTCATTAGCTACCTTTGTATGACCTTGGAGAAGAGAGATGGCTTCCTGAATACTAATTCTATACATCCTTCCATTTAGAAATGTGATTCAAATAGTCATATCTTGGGATGAGGTCAATATGAATCTGAGAATTAAGCCATGCTTCCATGATGGTACTGCTGTTTTGGGTTGAAGACAAACCTGTTAGAGACTGGTGGTCCTTTGGAGGCTTATGGTTACGCCTTTGGTTCTTCAGTTCTCTTATCTTTATTTATCACTGTAAAATGAGAGACTAGGAATAGCAATTATTTTTAAAATTTGAAACTGGAAAGCTAACAGTTTCAATAAGATTTACTAGTTAGGTTAGGATTTATTTGGGGGTGGGGGAAGCAGAGGGAAGGTGGAACAAAGTGAAATGACAGTGCTTTGCCTTTTGATCTTGTAAGCACTAAAATACTTTTAGTCAAAACCTATATACTAAGTTAGGGAGGGAGCAAAACTGATCTCACTGTCTTAGGCCATCAGTTTCTATAGTTCTTAGTTTAGACTTAAGTTCTAATAGTTTGTATAGTTCTTAGGCCACTATCTTTTTTTCAAAGGGAAAAGAGCCCGATACTGGGTCAAACTCAAAATACTTTCTTGAGACATGACATCCCCTTACTTCTTGGAAAAAACCATTGGGGGATAAGTTTCTAAAGAAGGAATTTCACTTCAGGTAGAACTGGATCTAGAAAATATATTTAGGGCTGGGGATTCTTTTCTCAAAAATCATATTTGGGAGAGTTTCTGATGATATTCTCTAGTAATAAAGTCCCTTTCCTGCTTTTAGTAGTTTCACCATAAGATTCTAGATTTATGGCTAAGAAAGACCTTAGAGGTCCTCTAGTCTGGTACCCATTTTTAAGATAAAAAAAAATTAAACTTTGTCGGTAGGCATAATTTGAAAAGTTCCGTGGACAAATGTTATTTCATATGGTAATTATATTGCCCTTAGTTTACAGAGGCAGGATTTCACTTGCAAATGTACTTCCTAGCTCAGGTTGAAAGTGCTACAGGCATACACCAAGTGAGTCTGATTCTACTTTGATCAACTTATTTTCTCCCCATGCAAAGGCTTTAATTCCCATGAGACTTAAAACAAGAATCAAGGAGCTAGAGCTATACCTTAAGACTAAGCCTGCTTCTCTATTCTTACCTGTGGCCCACTTTGACCTTTGTAAAAAGTCTGTGTTTGAGCTGCCTGTGGCGCATTCTGATTAAAATTCTGAGGAAGACATTTCAAAGCATTAGAATGATCTGAAAGTTAAGACAGACTAGACACCATTTAGCAAGGTTAAATTTCCTGACTTGGATGTGTCATATTTAAGTTAAGACTTTTAATTTTTTTAATTTAGCATTCAAATCCCTTCTTTAAAGAGGAATTGTAGCTCCTAGCGCTCAATTTAACTTTGAGCTTTGTGTTAGGGAAGAGAATGCCTTTCTCCAGCCAAGAGAAGGTCTTCTGTGCCTGTGATTGTATGAACTACCATGAAGATAGGCTTACTAGCATCTTGCCTACCAATTTTGTCTTGACAGATGGCCTCATGCTTTTGGAGGGTTTCACGAGGGACCACGTGACGAGCATTATATTTGCAGCTAGCCATTTCTTTTGCCTTTTTGGGGTTTTTCTGAATAAAAGAAAGACGTACTGTTAGAAGGGGCATTACAGAAGTTCTTACTTTTCCTTTTCTTATGCAAGCTGCCCCTCCCCCCTCTACTCCCCCTGCTCCTCACACTTTATGATTTAAGGAGCCAGATTAGAAATACTCACTTTTTTGCATTGTGCCAGGTGGTATTGCATTCTGCTTTCTGATACGAAATGGCTTGGGTCATAAGGACACTGTACTTTATCGTCTGGATCCATGATACCTGGGCAGCAGGAACCATAGGGTGGCAAAACACAGAAGAAAGAAGCTAACACATGAGGCCAACAGTCTTGACAATGTCTTTTTCTCAAAATAGAAGCGGATAAGACAGGTTTCCTCCTATTTCTAGTAAAGGCTTCAATCGCCTGGAGCTGCTGCTTTAAGAGTCCCTAGGGAAAGGGATTCTGCCTTGAAGCTTAAAGACATATACTTCTACTGGTAAGTAGGTCTTCCCACAAGTTAGACTTGTGTTTATAGGTTTCTGGGAACCATAAGATTTGTGCTCTTAGAGAGAGGTACTGGGCAGGTAAGGTGCCTCCCTTCCCTACTTCCTTCCTCCCCTCCCCAGTGAAGAGCTATGGAACTAAACTTGACAATTCTAACATTTATTAAGTACCGAATGTGTGGTAGCAATAGGGGAAGGGAAAAAAAATAATCATAGTCCCTGAACTCAAGGAGTTTACATTCTACTGGAATAAGAGTACCAGTAGACCTCTGCTACAACCTATTTAAGCTGCGGGGAGCCAGGGCTGAGAACACAAATTTCTTCAGTGCCCTCTCAAATCAACAAACATTTCTGAAGTGCTTTCTATGTATCAACAACTGTGCTATGCTGTGGGGATACAAAAAGAGGCAAAGGACAGAGGCAAAAGCAAAAAAAAAAAAGCTTTAAGGAACTTACAATCTAATGGGGGAAGAATGCCCAACAACCTTGATGCCTTCTCTCCTTCCTACAAGAGATGCTCATTAAAACCAATAGAACTGCTCCAAAGATGTTCTAAAGAGCAGCTTATTCAAATTCACTGCCTGGGTAGACTAGTCTCAAAGTTTGGCACACTGGTGGAATCCTAGGCACTGTCAATAAAGGGGTCTAGAAAGGAGGTAGGTTCTTAGGGAACCAAGGCCCTGGAGGTCAGCTGCCTCTCTGACCTCTTTTCTCCCACAGTTCTGCCTTCAGAAAAGCCTTCCAACTTCAGATCGCTGATCTGTGTCCTTATGGAAGTCGGGAGAGAAAATTGCTACTCAGAGCAGCCACCTGGAGGCTGGCATGCACGTGCTGTCTGGGGAGCCCAAATGTTAGCTGCCACTCTTGCTTCAAGGACTCCCAAGTTACCCAGGCAACAGCTGCAGTCCAGGATTGTTGAAAATACAGATCAAGAAAACCAAGCATAAACTGTGGGAAGCAAGGAGGTCAAGTTTATTCCTGATCAGCTCTATATTACTCCTGGGGTGCTGGCAGAGGGCATAGAGATAGGTTGTCAAATGCCCGAAGGCACATCTGCCACTTAAGTGATTAAATCCAGGGATTTAGGCACAGGTGCCTCTTAGGAAACACCATCACAAGCCAGTGCCTCTGTTCAAAGCTTCCCTCGAATTTTAACGATCAGATTAGAGCCAGAAACTGTGTGCTTCACATAAAGGTAGTTGGACCTCTGAAAAACAGAGAGACAGGTTTACTAAGTATTCTAGAACACTATTAAATCTTGCTGTCGGTGATCCTATACTAACTTAAGGGTTAGTTATCAGAGCATCAGATCATAGAGTTATTTTATAAGGGAAGAAAAGGAGGCCCAGAGAGGGAAGATAACTATCCCATGGTCATCCAGGTAAGAGCTGGGATTTCAACCTAAGAACTCCCCATTCAACAACACATGCAGTTTTTAACCAAAGTACCAATCTCCTTCCAGGACTTGTAGATAATTTGAGAATCATAGTAAATATGATTTGGATAAAAAGTGACTTTTTTTTTTTAAACAAAGTTGCTAGAAGTTTAAAAAAAACTGTCCATCCTTTGAACCAGGTTTTAGTAATTAAGGAATTTCTTAGAATTGGGAGTGAGTTCTAGAGCCTAATTCCCCAACTGGTTAATCATTTCCCTAATTACTCTGAATAGAGGATCTGGGCATACTACTTGAAGGCTTCTTAAAGGTGGGTATTCCAGACTTTGTAACATTGTGAACAAGTGATTTAATGTATGAGAAGTGCTTTCCAAGCCTTCACATGCTATAGAAATGCTATTATTTCCTTATTACATCTTTCTGCCAGCCATATCCACTCCCACTAACTAGTTAAGAGACTTGCCTAATTCTTGAAGTAGTCTGCCTTGATTGTCAAGAATTCAAGGGGAAGAGCCACTCGGCAATTAAAAATCATTCTGCAAGAAAGGAGGAGACAGGCAGATGAAGGGAAAATGGGGACGTCTAGCTGCCCTTCAGAGGAGTGAAAAATGGTCCTGACCTCAATTCTACCTTAACTGTTCCATTCTGATCACAGAATCTATGATTTCTCCCTTAAGTGATTAGAGGTTTGACTTTACTGCTGTCATAAGAGAGCCTTTTCTAGCTGCATCTCAGCCTTTTAGCTTAGTTTTGTAACACTGACTCCTTTTTTTAATCTAGTGAAGTCTATGGAAGGGCCCCCTTTCTCAGAATCATGTTTTTAAACGTATAAGATACATAGGATTACAAAGGAAATCAATTACATTGAAATACAGTTTATCAAATATTTAATAAAGACAAAAAAGTTATTAGACCCTGGGTTAAGAACCCCTGAGAGTTAAGCTTTCTTCTTTAAAACAATCAGAAGACAAACATCATTAAAACCCCTAATGTGTTTAGCGAGTTGCACGGGAAACAGGAATATAAAGACACAGTCCCTGCCCTCAAGAAGGTTACCCTTTAGAGAGATGAAACACATGAAGGAAACATGATTACACTTGAAGGTAGAAGTTATGGACTGAATCTTGTAGGACATTGAAAGAAACAGAGTTTGATGAAGATCAAGCTTCTTAGAGGAAGCAGGAGTACCCTGGGCCTTGAAGGTCAGAAGGAAGGTAGATTTGGATTAGTGAAGAGACTGGTGGTGGAGAAGAGGAGGCAAGGCAGAAGGGAGCCAGGACCATCCCGAGCAGCAACAAGGGCAGGGAAGGGCTTGAAAAAGCATATAGTGAAGGGTATTCCAAAGTCTTCGAGGAAATCCCCACTCACCTTAAACAGAAGAGGCTAATCTTATTGGTGCTCTCCACTTCCTAATTTAAGGACGCTTCAGTCTTCTTTTTATCCTATCCCTCATTATGAAGAAAACCAGTGAAGTGTTTCCATTTGGGATGTGCTCACCCTAGCACCTCCCCCTAGGCTTGCCTGAGATTGCAAGTGATTCCAATCTTTCTAATGACGTGCATGCACCTGATCCTATGATTGTCCCACTCCTATAGCCTTTTTTTTTTTTTGTGAAGCAACTGGAGTTAAGTGACTTGCCCAGAGCCACACAGCTACTGAGTATTATGTGTCTGAGGCTGAATTTAAACTCAGGTTGTCCTACCTCTAGGGCCAGTGCTCTATCCACTGCACCACTAGCCCCTTAAAATCCCAACAGAGTAAACTCATAAGAAAGTCCCAGAGACCCTCCTTTCCCCCTCTTCCCTATGCCCCCTTCTTTTCCCAACTAAAGAAAGGCTGTCCCTCATTGCTGCCTGCCTTTTTCCCATTAGTAATTCCTTCCTTTATATTATGTATCGCTCTTTCCAGGCTGTTCTTTTGAAGACCAAATACTCTTGGGAGGGAAAACACATTTAAGTTCCTGATAGTGTGGTGTGAATGAGTTTTCCCCAAGACTGGATTAATCCCCTGAGCCTAGGGAAGGTAAAACCGAAAATAAATTTGGCCAACTTCCTAATTTTACCTAAGCTCTGTCCCTTCCCTTCCTCTCCAAAATAACAAACAAACAAAACTTCCGGGGAAAACCAGGGAATGGAATAGAGATTTCCTTGTATAATATTTTAGGAAAATCCATCTCCTGCTGCACCTATAGTTGTTGTTCAGTGGTATCGGACTCTTCATGACCCCATTTGGGTTATTTTTTTTTTGGCAAAGATACTGGAGTGGTTTGCCATTTTCTCCAGCTCATTTTACAGATGAGGCAACTGAGGCAAACAGGGTTCAGTGACTTGCCGAAGCTCACAAAGCTAATAAGTGTCTGAGGCCAGATTTGAATTCAAGGAGATGAGTCTTTCTGACTCCAGGCCCAGAACTCAATCTATTTCACCATCTAGTTGCCCACACACATACCACCTTCCCGTAAAAAAAAAAAAAGGCAAAACTGGCTAATTCAGTGGCTGTGAGGGACAGCACATGTAACTTCCTTTCGCTTATAATTTGTCATTTCTTAAGAGGAATGGACAAGCATTTATTAAGTACTTACTGTGTGCCAGGTGTAGTGCTAATGTCTGAAGATACAAAGAAATGCAAAAACATAGGTTTTGTCTGCAAGGCAAGGACATCAGCTTTTAATAGGGTAGACAGGATGCAAGCAACTGAATAGTATGTGGTGTAAATGGAAGATAACCACAGAAAGCACTGACCCCTGGGGCTACCAGGAAAGGCCTCCTCCGGAAGGGGGATTTTGAGCTTCGTTCTTGAAGGAAGCTAAGGAGTCTATAAAGATGAGTAGGAGAGCACCCTAAGCCTGGGGGCCAGAGTGCAAAGGCACCCATATGGTGGATGGAGTCCCTTATGCATGAGAGACATCAAATCAGCAAGTCTAACTGGATTGTGGAGGGCATGGAGAGGTTTAATGTGTAAGAAAACTGAAAAAGTAGGAAGTGATCAGGTTGTGAATAGCTTTTAAAACCAAACAGAAAATTTTATGTTGGATCCTGGAGGTGATAAGGAGCCACCGGAGTTTATTGAGTGATGGAGTCAGATACATGATTCAGGAAAATCATTTTGGTAGCTGTGTGGAAGATGGATTGGAATGGGAAGAGACTTGAGGCCAGAAGGCCATTTAGAAAGCTATACCAGTAATTCAGTTGAGAGGCGATAAAACTAGGGTGGTAGCCCTAAGAGTGGCAAGAGTAAGGGACAGATAGGAAGAAAGGATGAGGTAACTAGGTGGCAAAGTAGATAGAGCACCAGCCCTGGAATCAGGAGGACCTGAGTGACCCTGGGCAAGTCATTTAACCCTGATTGCCTCCAAAAGCAAAAAAAAAGGACAAGATGTAGCAACTAATTAGATATGTTGTCTTATAGAAGAGTGAGAACGATGCTAAGATTGGGGACCTGAGTGACTGGGAAGAAGAGGGGAGAGAGATGATGAGTTCTATTTTGGACATGTTGAGTTTGAGAAGATATCTGAAAGACATCCAATTGGAGATATTCAGTAGGTACCTGGAGCTCAGGAGAGAGTTTAAGATTGGATGTGGAGATCTGGGAATCATCTATATAGAGATAATTGAACCAATGGAAGCTGATGAGATTATTAAGTGAAATAATATAGAAGGAAAAAGGCTCAGGATAGAGCCTTGGGAGGGCATCCTCATTTAGTGGGTATAACCGGGATGAAGATCAAAGGAGTCTCAGTAGATATGGTCTGATAAGTAGGAGGAAAAGCAGGAGAAAGTACTAAATGCTAAACAAAATGTGTCAGAGGAGTTTAGAGGAAGCTGCATTAGTTAGATTTGAGGAAGGCCTTAGAAAATTGGTAGGTTTGAGATGGGTAAAGTGATCTCTGTGTGTTTGTGGGGGAGGGGCAAGGGCATTTTAGTTGAAGGGATCATGCTAAAAACTAGAGTATGGTAGGAAAAGTAAATAGGTGAGGAATAGAGGATATCTGTAGGGCAGTAGTGGGAGCTAAAGTTGGGGAACTAGATTGGTACCAGATCGTGGGCTTTGAATGCCGAGCAAGATTTTTATGTTTTGTTTTATGGGAAATCGGGTGTTCTCCCTCTTCCCTGCCCCCCCCACCCCAAACAAATGCTGAAAGGCCAGAAAGGGGAAGTCTCTTGGGGGTGAATTTACAAAAAGGAAGGAGAAAGCTCTCAGAGCTTGTGAACTATGACAGCTTTTTACCCCTAGAGCCAATCACAAAAGCAGCAGGAAGACAGATTCACCAAACGGACCAGCTCTCCCCGCCGTGAGCCTTTGGGTGACTCTAGTGATCAGGGTTTACAGTGAGAAATCCCTCCTAGCTCAGTGGTCATCATGTCAATGACCTCCTGCTACCAGTATAAGTTGACTGAGAAGCTCACCATTCTAAATGACCGTGGGCGAGGGGTTCTCATTCGAATTTATAACATCAAGAAGGTAAGTGGGACCGGGTGGATTTGGCCTCCAGGGTTCTAGGGCCAGCCAAGGGTGGTCGGGGTGTCTGTTGTCCTGAGGCCCTCAAGTTCAGTGGATAGTGCTTACTCTCCTACACTAACCCTTGCTTTTTGCCTATTTGTAATGGTCTCTAGCCACAGCTAAAGGACTGGAGGAGATCGAGTCCTCTAGCGTGAGGGGCAGGCCAGATGGGTGGGTTCCTTCTCAAGTTTCCTCTTTCCTTACTCTGAATCTCGTCACTGATCATTGGGAGAAGTACCATGGTACAATCCCCTATTAACTCTGGATGGTCCATGTTAATATCCAGCCTCAATTACTACCCAGATGACCTTGGGAAAAATCACTTAATTTTCAAGTGTGTGTGTGTGTGTGTGTGTATGTATGTATTTCCTCATCAGAAGAATGAGAGGGTTGGGCTATATGGTCCCTGGGGATCCTTCCAGCGTTTTAGATTTATGATTTTATTATTGATATCATGGTGAGAATGTATTTTTTTTTTGCTAGGGCAGAAGCAAAAATTATATTCTGAGCCTCTTGGAGAAAGGATTTGAGAACCAGAATCCTAGGTTCACTCTCATACTGATATTTGACATAGACTCCTCAGCTGAGACCTTATCATGGAAGAGCTAGGCAGAGGGGAGAACCTATTGCCTGAGTAGAGAAGGGTAATGTCTTTTGAGACAGATATATCCATTTTTTCCCCTCCTGGCTGGGATAACCCACACTAATATGTGGGGGCATAGGAGCCGTGAGTTAGATGGATATTAAGTGGAACCAAAGGGGGGTGAGGATGGCAGTGAAGTGAGAAGGGCAGGGGTGGGGGAGAAGAGAAAAGAGGACAGAGTGGGGGGCCAGGGAGAAGAGCAAGGAAGAGTTTTGTGCATTTTGCTATTAATCTTATTGTCCGTAAGTGAGTTTCTGACCCGTGGCTCCCACAGTACCTTTTGTAGAGGAGATTGTGTTGTAGAAATCAAATTCTGTTACTGAACTTCTCCCCAAATCTACTTTAGTTGTAGGCCTACCAAGCTGACTGACTGCCTTACTTGCTCCTTCCGGCCTTGGTTAGGGGTGTTAGCTTAGCTTCCTCTTTGTGCTGGGCCAAGCAGAGAGCAGTCCTTAACTTTGGGCACCTCCCATGCTGTGATGTTTCTGTGGCCAGCCAGCTTAGCCAGCCCTCTGATGCCAGTCCTAAGGGAATAATTCTCAGATCCCTCCTTCCTAAAGAGGGATTGGAAGGATAAATAAGGCAGGCAGAATGATGCTTCTAGCTGGTCAGAGGACTGCTAGAGACCCTCTCTGTTTTCTTCTATCCAGACTTGTTCAGACCCTAAATCCAAGCCAGCTTTTCTCCTGGAAAAGTCCATGGAATCATCTGTCAAGTACATCAGCAAGAAATTCCCCAACATAGATGTCCGAAGTAGCACGGTGAGAAGCCTGCCTCTCCTCTCCTTTCTTTTCTTTTTTAATTAATTTTTTTTTCAGCCTGCCTCTCTCCTCTCCTTTCTTTTCTTTTCTTTTTTTGATTGAATTTTTCCCCAGCTAACAGACATTTATTTATCTTCTCTCCCTTCCACCTTTCACCCTGGAAAAAAGAAAGAAAAAGAAAATAAAATCCTTATAACAAACATGCAAAGTACAAGCAAAGCAAACTTCCACACCCCAGCCCCACCCCAGGAAGAACTAGGCCCTCATTCTCCAGCTGCCCCTTCCCTAAACTTGATAGGGGGTGGGAGACTAAAAATTATAGCAATAGCTAGCATTTATATAAGCACTTTTTACACATGATCTCATTTTTTCCCTCACTACAACCCTGTGGGCTAGGTGATTATTATTAGCTACCACCCCACTGAACTGCCTAATCATTTTCTTTGATTCGATTTGTCTTAATCTTATAACTTTGTAAGTTCTGAATATTCATTCTGAGAATGTAAGACTGGGAACCTCAACTGTCCAAGCAGTGTCCCTCTGCCTTCCTCCAATGCAGGGTTGGTGAAAATACTTACTTTCCTAGAGCAGGAGTTCCTGACCATTTTTATGTGCCTAGACCCCTTGGTCAGTCAATCTGGTGATACCTATGGACCCAGCCTCCAAATTTGTTTTTAAATGCATAACATAAAATACATAGTATTATAAAGGAAGCCAAATATGTTGAAATATGGTTACTTTAAAAAGTATTTTTTTTCAATGTTCATAGACCTAGGGTAAGAATATTTGTTCTAGAGGAAGAAAACTAGACCAGCGTAACAGATTGTTATTTGATTGCTGTTCTTAGCTGGAAGTTCTCAGGTTCTCCTTCTCACCTCAGGCTTGCTTCTAACTTTGTTGGACCCCTTTCTCATTAATCCCTCTTTTTTTCCGGCACAGTTTGGTATAATGGAAAGAATGTACCCTGGGTGGAATACCTACTCAGACATTGACGTTTGACTATGGGCAAGAGGCTTTTTCTCTTTTTAAAAATTTTTATATTTTATTTTCCCCCAATTACATGTAAAAACATGTTTTTACATTTGTTTTAAAAATTTTTTGAGTTCCAAATTCTCTCCTTCCCTCCTTCCCTTTCCCCTCTCATTGAGAAGGCAAACAATTTGGTATAGATTATACATGTGCAGTCATGAAAACCTTATTTTCATGTTAGTCATGTGGAAGAAAACACAGACAAAAAAAATCCAAGGAAAATAAAGTAAAGAACACTTATGCTTCAATTTGCATTCAAACTCTATTAGTTCTTCATGGAAAGGTAGAAAGCATTATGGTTTTTTTTTAATCCTAAATCCTTCAGAATTGTCTTAAATCATTGTATTGCTGAGAATAACTGTCATTCACAGTTGACCATCATACAATATTGCTATTACTATATACAATGTTTCCCACATTCTGCTCATTTCACTTTGCATCACTTCATGTAAGTCCAGGTTTTTCTGAGAGCATCCTGTTTGTCATTTCTTATAGCACAATAGTATTCATCACAATTATATACAGTGACTTGTTCAGCCATTCCCCACTTGATGGGCATCCCCTCAATTTCCAATTCTTTGCCACCACTATAAATATTTTATATTTATAAATATATATTTATATTCAATTCTGCTATAAATATTTTGGCACAAATAGGTCCTTTTCCTTTCTGTTTTTTATCTCTTTGGGATACAGACCTAGTAGTGGTATTGCTTGGTCAAAGGGTATGCATGATTTTATATCCCACTGGGCATAGTTCCAAATTGATGTCTAGAATGGTTGAATCAATATATTACTTCACCAATTAATGTCTCAATTTTCCCACATCACCTCTAACATTTGTTATTTTCCTTTTCTGTGATATTAGCCATTCTGATAGGTATGGAATGGTAGCTCTGAGTTGTTTTAATTTGCATTTCTCTAATCAATAGTGATTTAGAGCATTTTTTCATGTGACTATAGAGAGCTTTGATTACTTCATTTGAAAACTACCTGTTCATACCCTTTGATCATTTAGCAACTGAGGAATGGCTCTTGTTTCTATAAATTTGACTTAGTTCTCTATATGTTTGAGAAATGAGGTCTTCGTATCAGAGAAACTTGCTGTAAATTTTTTTCACAGTTATGATTACTATGTATTTTCTTCCATCCTACTTCCCCCTTGTTTATCCCATTCTCTCTCCTTTTACCCCATCCATTCTCAAAAGTGTTTTGCTTCTGACTTTTACCTCCCCTAGTCCACCCTCCCTTCTAAAACCCCCAGTCCCAACCTCTTCTCTTATCACTTTCCCTTCCTACTTTCCTGTAGGGTAAGATAGATTTCTATACTCAACTGAGTATGTATGTTATTCCCTTTTTGAGCCAATTCCAATGAGAGTAAGATACTCTATTTTCCAGGTCAATTGTTTTTTTTTCTAATGAGATATTTCATATTTTCTTTTATTTCTTCATTCTTTTGATTTTGTTTTATTGTTTCTTGATGTCTCATGAAGTCATTAGCTCCACTTACTTCTAATTTTTAAGGAATTATTTTCTTCAGTGAGCTTTTGTACCTCCTTTTTCCATTTGGCCAATTCTACTTTTTAAGGAGTTCTTTTCTTCAGTCAATTTTTGTATAGCTTTTTCTATTTAGTCAATTCTGCTTTCAAGTCATTCTTCTCTTTACTGGATTTTTGTGCCTCTTTTACTATTTGGGCTATTTTGTTTTTTTTAAGGTGTTATTTTTCTTCAGTACCTTTTGTGCCTCCTTTACCAAGCTGCTGACTCTTTTTCATGATTTTCTTGCATCACTCTCATTTCTCTTCCCATTTTTCCCCTCTACCTCTCTTATTTGATTTTAAAAATCCTTTTTCAGTTCTTCCGTGGCCTGAGACCAATTAATATTTCCCCTTGATGCTTTTGATTTTGTTTTCTTCTGAGTTTGTGTTTTGATCTTCCCTGTTACCATAGTAACTTTCTCTTGTTAGGATCTTTTTCTGCTGTTTGCTCATTTTCCTGGCCTATTTCTTGACTTTTAACTCTATGCTAAAGTAGAGTTCTGCTTCTAGAGTGGAGGGGGAACCATCCCAACCTTCAGATTTTTTGTGCAGCTATTTTCAGAGATAATTCTGGGGACCTGTAAGTTTTCAGTTTTTCCAAGGTGGTATAATTTAGGGAGAGAGATGTGTTTACTACTCTCCTGGCCTGTGCTCTGGTCTGTGAGTGACCACATGCACTGGAACTGTGACCACAGTGCTACCTCCTTTGTGGCTGCCAGCCCCTGGTGTGCTAATGTACTCCCTTGCCCTGATACTGAGACCAGGGACTGCGACCCAGATTCAAATATGAGCAATGCAATAGAGTCTTGCTCTAGGTGGCTGCAGAGGCTCCTGTAATCTGCTTTTGACCAGTTGTCTGACCCCCTTACCGTCTGTGGGCTGAGAGGTCTGGCAGCTGCCCTCTTCCACCACTGATTCAGTCATCCCCAAGGCCTACTGCTTTGTTTGCTAGTGTGGGGCCTCTACTTTCACTCAGGTACAACAGCCCTTTCCTGCTGACTTTCTAAGTTGTCTTGGCTTGGAAAATTGTTTCACCCTGTCTTTTTGTGGGTTCTGCTGCTCCAGAATTTGTTTTGAGGCATTATTTAAGTTGTTTGGTGGGGTTTGGGGGAGAGCTCAAGCAAGTTCCTGCCTTTTCTCCACCATCTTGGCTCTGCCCTTTGCAAGTGGCTTTAATCTCTCTGAGTCTCAATTTCCTCATCTGTAAAATGGATATATGAATACTTATATTACTTATCTCACAGGGTTGATGATAATGATGATAATAGTAGCTAACATTTATATAGTGCATATTAGGTGCTAGGCACTGTGCTAAGTACTTAACAAATATCTCATTTGATCCTCACAACAACCTTGGGAGGTAGGTCCCCACTTCTTTACAGTTGAGGTAACTGAGGCAAACAGAGATTAAGTGATTTGCCCAGGGTCATGTAGCAAGCAAATATCTGAGGATGGATTTGAACTAAGGTTTTCCTGACCCCGGGCCCAGAGCTCTATACACTTTGTAAACTGTTATACAGAAAGTACTTTGTTTAAGAAAAATTCTATGTATATGTGAGTTGTTATTATCCTTTCTTCACCCAAAACCAATGCTTTTCCAAGTTCCCATCTTTCCTCTTTTCCCACCCAGGGAGTCCTTGCTCACTTTTTCTTAGAAACATCTATCTATTATAATACCCATCTATTTCATTATTCTATTTTATGTCTTCTAAATCTTTTAACATCTAACTCTATTAACATCTAAACTTCCTGGTGTGGCCATAGAATCATTGACTTCTTCAGTGGAAAGGGGCTTTGAAAGAACAGTCATTTCATGTAGCCTTCTGAGTCTAGGCAGGACCACATTGAGACTATCTCAGCCTATCTCCTCTGTGCAGGGTTCTCTGAAGAGGAACATATTTCTCTTAGTCATATTTTAACATCTGTTAGGAAGTTCTTCATGTCTAGCCCAAATCCTTCTAACTGTTAGTTGAGCCCAATTCTTCTTCTTCTTTTTTTTTGTTCTGTTTTGTGTTCTT